GGGGGGGAGGTGTGGGCCTCCCCGCACCACTCACCAAATGTGCAAAGTGAGAATAAACGTTCTCTCTCTCTCTCTCTCTCTCTCTCTCTCTCTCTCTCTCTCTCTCTCTCTCCCTGTGTGTGTGTATGTGTTTGGGGGGTGGGGGGGGCTCCCCGCACCACTCACCAAATGTGCAAAGTGAGAATAAACGTTCCGCAAGAACATGAAAAGATACATGGCCATAATTTTTGTATGTTTTGCATTTGGTCAGTCGTGCTGTGACTCTCTCTCTCTCTCTCCCGCGCGCGCGCAGACTGTGGGTAACTGCCTACGGAGTCTTCCCTCTGGTGTAGGTGGGTGATGATCCGCATAGATTCTGGGTCAACAAGGCTGATTGACTACGTCTGGGTCACACCCCCGCCCGTTTCGACCCCCGCCCGTTTCGACCCCCGCCCTCTCCCCACCCACCCCTTTCACTGGGCAGCACTCTGTGACAACAGAAATCTAATTCTCGAAATTGACAAGCACGAGATTGCCAGGTACAAAAAATAGTGTCCCGCACAAAATTGGCGCGCACACGATTGCCGCGCACAAAAAAATGTGGCGTGGCTATGTCGAGAGAGCGCCAAGGGTATATTATATCTCCTTCCCCTTGTCTGGCCTTTTCTTCCCCCAAGGGCCAGCGAAGGAGGTGAAGAGGGGAAGAGGGGAAGAGATACAGGTTCCCATTGGCTGGCGTTTCCTTCCCGCAAGGGCCAGCGAAGGAGATGAAGAGGAGGAGATGCAGGCGTGGGAAGAGACACAGAGATAGATAAGGAACGAAAAAGTGTAGGGGGGAAACAACAAAACACTCAACCGCTCTTTTCCAGATTTTGAAATATACCTTTCGTCATTTCCTAATGTGAACGTTTCCTAGTGCGAACAAACAAGTCGTTTTTCTTCATGGGACAACATCCTCCACAAACCGCATTCCAGATTTGGAAACAACCTCGCCAGCCACCTTTTCGGCGTTCAGAGAAAAAAAAAAAAAAAAAAAAAAAAAAAGACACGTTCGGCCAAGGGTTAGGGAGAGGGTAACGCGCTTGATACGTTTCCGTTTGCGGTGCCGTTTCCATATCTGTTCACGTTTCTGGTTCTGTTTCCGTCTCTGGTTCTGGACAGCAAAAAAACAAAACAGAAAAAAAAAAAAAAGCACACGTGATCGGGGATATAACGCGATACGTTCCGTTTCCGTTTCCGATTCCTTTTTCTGTTTCCGATTCACCGCAAACAGGATTTCTTTTTTCTCAAACAGGATTGTCACCACACCACTTGCCCAGGAGAACGGTTCCCAATTTTAATTTACTAAATTCACACAAAGACAGTTTTCCCGAAATTCAACCACACATCACACATCACTCTCTCCTCCATGGCAGTTCTATTTCTTTCTTTAATAGTTTTTTTTCAAATCATAAAGAAAAAGAAACAGCGACAGCAGCAGCAGCAGCAGATAATCGACTCTTTAATTACCGTATTCACCCGAACAGAAAGCCCGGTAATTATCCCTATATCCGAATGGAACGCCCAGCAATGGCCGCTATATCTATGCATCTCGACTGAAAGTTTACAGGGCGTACTCTTCACGTGCAACAAGAAGTAACGGGTGTTCTATTCGAGTGCAGCGATAGTCACCGGACGTTCTATTCGGGTGCAGCGATAATTACCGGCGTTCTATTCGGGTGCAGCGATAATTACCGGGCGTTCTATTCGGGGACAGCGATAATTACCGGGCGTTCTGTTGGGGTGAAGACGCTAGTTCAGTTTACTCACTCCATTATCCATTATTCATTATTCATTATCCATTACTCGTTATCCATTATTCATTACCCATTACTCATTATCCATTATTAATTAAGAGGCATCCATTTATTAATTATCAATTATCTATTATCGGAAGCACATAATGGTGAGTCAATAGTTCGTCTATTATTAATTATCCATTATTAGCGGCAGGTAATGGTAACTGTTTGGTTATTTCATTATCCTATCCGATATACTTATCCATTATGAACAGCAGATAAGGGTGGCTTATTTCGAGAGCGAAGGAGAGGACTTCTCTTACCCCAAAATTTGTTGACGACAGCATCTTCTTCTCTTTCCTTCAATTTTCCCTCGGCAACAAATCTCGTGTCCACGAGAAAGCCATTCACGTCTAACACCAGAAGTATCCGCTTCTCCTTCGCTCTTGAAGCGCCCCCCCCTCTCGTGTCTCTCTCCATTATGTAACTCGAC